CAAGCATTTTCTTCTTTCTTACATTCTAAGAAAACTAGATCACATCAACGCATAGCGACTACAGATAAACGCACAAACTATGAACTACGTCAACTTTTTCTTATTTTTAAATACAACTTCAGACAGCCTTCAAGTAGTGTCTCTGAAATAAGGCAATTGGTAGAAACTCTAGAATAATATTTACCAACCATTCCTTGGGTGAAAACAACTTCTTTGTTCTCCTTCCCCACACCCCAACTGCACTCCACAAGCGAGAAGTCCATTTAGGTGCAATTTTACTGGTTACTGTTTTTAATAATTTTTTATCTTTACAGAAACAGTAAGAGTAGAAAGTTAGAAAATAGACAAAAAATTTTTCATGAAAGTATCACATTCTTACCAGTCAGATCACTATAACTCCTTAGTGCATATTCTTTCAGATCTTTATCTTTGCAAATATACCCATATGAGTGTTGTTTTAACCAAAAAGGAGATTTTATAGTCTATACGGCATTGAGCCTTCCCTTGCAGTCAGTGGTCTCCATCTACTGATTTCAGTAAATTTTCATTTCATCTAATAGCCAGGCTATATGTATTCAAATTCCCCAACAATGTCCTTTCTCTCTGCTTTCTCCAAATCAGCATCCAATCTAGGACTATTGTACCTAGCTGCTATGGCTAAGTCACTTTTAACCTAGTATATCTACCCCCATCCCTTCTGTTTGCTTTTCAGTTTACTAACACTAGCTTGTTGAAAAGATCGGTCCACTTGTCCTGCAGAACGTCCCAATCTCTGGATTTGTCCATTTGCTTCCTTCAAGTAGTTTTCAAATATTTCTCTATTCCCCTTATTTCCTGTAAACTGGACATTATATCTAAAGGTTTGATGGATTCAGGTAAAGCCTTTTGGCTGGAATACATCATAGGTGTTGTATCGCATCAGACGACACATAATGTCTGGTTGACCCCATCGTGAGTGATGCTAAGATTGACCATGGTGAGAGGCTGCCCTTTCCCATGTAGTCTTCCAGTTTTTCACTTTGAGACTAAAAAGTGAACTATCTGGTTTTATTGTGGAATGATGCAGATAGGCAACTTCCCATCAACCGTCCACTTAATAGTTTTACCATGATTTAAGTGCAATTAAAAATGTAGATTTTAATCGGAAAAAATTTGGAGTGCTATTCCATTCTTCTGAGTTGATCTACTGATGGTTTCAGTGTACCTGAAGCTGACCCCCATATTGAAGAACTTTGGTCCTAAAAGTCTGATGTTTTATTTTTCAGTCTTTTCGTAAAATCTTTTTATTTCAGCCTGAACTTAAATGTGGTAACAACAGAAAAGTCCAGGTATAAAACAAAGACCTGCATCTATCTTTTCTTTCTTGTTTCATCTCCTGACCTCCTGCACCTCATCCCAAGGACAAAGAAAATACTTAGGTGGAAGAAATAACTTGTGTCGCACCTAATAGAGTACCAACTATCATTTACTGTAAAAGAGGATTGGGCCTTTTAGAGTCAACAATTTTAAATTACTTTGATCTAAAATTAATATCTTTATGACCGCAGCTATCTTTCAGTATATTTAACATCCTAGAAAACATAAAGATTGGATTACAATCATGTGCTCAATTTGAGCCACATTCAAGGCTCAATTGGCATTTTCTGTGGCTCACCTGCTGGGAAGACCCGGGTCAGCAGGAGCTCTTCCTCTCTGTGTCGCCACGCTGATCACTTCTTATATTAGGGGCATTTCATCTATAGGACCCAACAGATTTCGAGATTTCCCCTCTCCCTGAGTCCTTCCTGCCTATGTGCATTCTCGGCATGAGTAGCTGGCCCTAGTGCGGCGGCCTTTGGACCTACCATCTCTCTGCATCCCAGTGGGGCAGAGGCTGGGTGTTTTTGAGCTGAGGGCTTTCTGTCCTGGAATTCCCCTTTGGGGTTGAAGAAAGCCTGAGGTTAAAATGACTTACAAGGACCGTGCCAGACATACTTTGCTTTATGTTGAGGCAACTTTGGTAGTTTCTCAGTGGGGAGGGGCAAGTCCAGTTGGGCAGAGTGGTGTTGGCTAGGGCTTCAGCATCATATTTCTGCTGCGTAACTTTTTCTTGGCTGCGCCACACAGCACGCAGGATCTTTGTTCCCCGACCAGGGATCGGACACGTGACCCCTGCAGTGGAAGCACGGAATCCTAACCACTGGACCACCAGGGAGTTTCCTAGTAACATTTTAAAAGTATGCCTAGGTAGATGCTTCTAAGCTTAAATAGAGCTGCGAGCTGTGCACAGGTACATGTGAATGTCTGTGTACCTGCCTAACTGTAATGAACATACACAAATTCGGTGTGAATCTTTGTAAGGGATTTGGCCTCTGGCACAGGAAGCGCTCAACACAAAGGTATTATGAGGTTCAGGGACTGGCAGAGGGAAAGATAACTCAAGTCCCCACAGATTGCTGTCTGCCTTGAGAGTAGATTTTCTCCCGTTTGACCTACAGCAAGTGTCACTTTGGCACACATCTCTTTTTTCATTTGTCAACAGGAAACCGAAAAGAGAAGAGCACCTGAGTGAAGAAGCCATCAAGGTGATCGCCAGCCTTCCTGACCTGACGTTCATGCATGCCAAGGTGTTGATGTTCCCAACCACCTTGACACCTTCCACAAGCTCCCAAGAGAAGGCAGACTGATAACTGATGTGAACTGGACGGTTTCAGTTGCTTTTCCTTCCCTCCAGCCCTTCCCCACCATCAAAAGCATACCTGCTCTAATTAAAAAAAAAAAAAAATTAAAAGTTCAGCTGATTTGTTGGTAAGCCGCACTAGAAAGGTATACATAGTAATGTATATTTATTTACATACTGAAGTCCTAAATTTATATTAGAAACAAATGTAAATAATCGGGGTGAACATTTTTGAAGATTTATTCTTTTTGTGTTGCTGGGGTGTATACATTTATGTCTTTGTGAAATACACTGGTGGTGTCCTTCTTACAAAACTTTTGAAATAAAAAAATGAAAACTAAAAAGTCAAATCTCCACTGTCTGTGAAATCCCCTTCAGTCTTTTCAGATTGCATTGACTGTCCTATTAATTTTTCACATCATACACTGAATTACTTTTGCTCTCATAAATAAGCTCCAAGTCCCTGTTTAAATTTTTTTTTTTTTTTTAATTTTACGTGTGGTGGGTTTGTTTCAGATCTGGCTTTTGTTACCCTTTTTGTGCTCTTGTTTAATCTTTTCAGTCTGGCCTGTTGCTGTTTGACCTTTTGCAAGGTACTTTCATCGATTGCGCTTTTGTTCTAGGGTATGGATCATTGTCAGAACTTGATTGAAGGGGTTTAAAGAGATTGTGCCTGTCTGTTTTAAATCAGTTTGGTTTAGAGAAGGACCAAATTACATGAATGTCTTACCATGAAATTTACTTGTTACTGATTGTTTTGTTCTATCATACCACTATTTTTTGAGGATTTTGCACAGTGTAAAATGACATAATCATAGATTGCTATGGTTTAGGCTGTATATACAGTAAAAACTATGGGTTTTAAATGTTTGGGGAAATTCCTATGGAAAAAAAGAGACATGTAGAGGAACCTCTAACAAGGTTAATGTGCATGCCCAAGGTCTTTTGAGATTTCAGTGTGTAAATTTCCTTTTAGCTTACACAAAAATAAAATAATTTAAAAGAAGTTTAGCCTGGTGTCTGTACTTTGGTGTCTGAGGGAAAATGTAATGAATTTGAACGTTAAGTTTTATTTCATCTTAATGTGTTTCAATCCAGAAGAAGTCATTTGGTAGGGCTTCCAGTTTATTAAAACCAAGAAGAATTAGATTCTCACCCATAAGAATTTGAATCAACCCTTTAAGTAGCTGAGCTGTTTTTATGTAGAACATGAGATCATACAAGAAATTCCCATGATCATTATAATATATCTTCATCAGAATTGGCAAAGTTAAATAGGGATTTGTAGGGAATTTTTTTCTTCCCAAGGAAATATATGCATGAAATTAAGGTGAGCAGAAAATTTCTTAAAAGCACTTTTAAAATATTGTTATTAGATTAGATGTTGCTTCAGCAAAAAGTCACATGATGTATTTCAGTAAAAACAGGCAATCAGCCCAACAGTAGTCCACCTCATCGGCTGTGGGAATGTTCCATTGGAACTCTTCTGCACCTCTGTCATTGACAGAGATTCCTGTGTCGCCAGGTTATTACACAGGCCATTGGAACAGTTGCCTGAGTGTAATTTAAGTAAGGCCTGGAGCAAGAATGCTTATCCAGTCCATCTCCTGCCGTTTCCCCAACTTTTTTTTTTTTTTTTTCCAGAGAAGGCTTTCCTTCAGAATAGTCACAAGTCTTCAGTGCCCAGTGGACCTTCTGAATGGAAGGATAAAAGTATTCCTCAGCAGACCTTTACATGTTTCAGTAACTGAAGCTTAAAGGGCTGCTTCTACAGTCCATTACAACTAAATGATAATGGTAGCCTTCATCCACCTAGGTTCAGAGCCCGTTTATTAGCTGTGTGTGATACCATGAGAAAGTTAATCAACCTTCTCTGAGCCACAGTTATATTATCTTTAAAAATGGGAATGAGGGGCTTCCCTGGTGGCGCAGTGGTTGGGAGTCCGCCTGCCGATGCAGGGGACACGGGTTCGTGCCCCGGTCCGGGAGGATCCCACATGCCGTGGAGCGGCTGGGCCCGTGAGCCATGGCCACTGAGCCTGCGCGTCCAGAGCCTGTGCTCTGCAACGGGAGAGGCCACAACAGTGAGAGGCCCGCGTACCGCAAAAAAAAAAAAAAAAGGGAATGATACCACCTACCTATGGGGTTGATGTGTTAAATAATAGATGTAAAACATTTATCACATGAGGAGACTCAATAAACGATAGCCAGAGCATAGAATCCGCAAAATCTATAAAGGCCCCTGGTGTCCCGGTAGATTCAAGAAGCAGTCACAGGAGATAGGATCAATTAAAATAAGTTATTCTGTTACAATTTAAAAGTAATCAAGTGGACATTTCTTATGAAAGTGCCCCTGCTTTAATGACACACAAAGTGGATAGTCCATCTTATAACCACTTTTCAATAAGCCAGATTTCCCTTTCCCTTTCCCTTTCGTGTGTCATATTGGCCTTTGATGTTTTAATCACTCAGGTAAGTTAATACTGGGTTGTCATAGCTTAAGGTCAGGGCTCTAGTGCTGAGGACCAAAAGTGCTCAGCTTTGCACCAGATCAAGGCTCAAATTACACTGGAAAGCAGTAGCAGGGCTGGTGCGGGAAGAGCCGTGAGCATCTCCATGCGAATCTCAGCTAAGGGTGAGCCTGTTGGTTGCAGGCTTGTCTTGGTCATCAGCTGCTTCTGGCAGCAGCTGCCCGTTTGTCCTTCTCAAAGTCAGCCAGGAGGACCCTGCAGAGTTGGGGAGAAGAAACCAAGGAGTCAGAGACCCTAAAACCAAATCACACACAGTGGAGACTGGCTTAGCAATCCCCTTTGGGTCTTTGACATCTTAAAACCAGCCCACTCATCCCCCGGAGTCTCATCTCACTTTATGGCCAAATCCAAATAGCCATACATAATTCCCCAGTTAATTCAAGCCAGACTGGGAAGTTATGGGAGAAACTTCCCTAAATTGAGTCATGTGTCACTACTATTTTTATGAGTCATTCTTTTATAGAGACTTGTTCTTCCCTCTACATGATTGTCATGCTCTTTATTTAGAACTTGTCTTTTTGCTCCCTCATGTTTCTTGAATCAGGATTAGGCTTGGCTATGAGTAACAAAAACCAAAAATACTGCGTTTCATGTAATAAGACTCATCCTTTTGCTACACTGGAACTTCTCTGAAATTGGAATGGGTTAGCTGGATGGGATAGCTGTTTAATTTGGCAGTGGTTTCTTTTTCTTAGTGATGTATGAAATAACGCTGTTCTTACATTCAATGACAGAGTTGATGGAAGATGGTAACGGTGGCTTCAACGTTAGGACTTTATTTCTCTTGCCTGTAAAACATGAGAAAACAGTCTGGGGCCGGTAAAGAGACTTCATAAGCTCATCAGAGATGCAAGCTCTTACCATCCTGTTCCACCCTTATCAACACGTGGTTTCTAGCTTATGGTCCACGGTGGCTGCTGGGGGTCCAGCCGCCAAGTCTGCATTCCATCCATCATGGGCGAAGGGCATGCTTCTTCCTGCTAAGGACACTTTTCCTAAGTTTCTCTAATTCCAACCTATTGGCCAGAGCTTAGTTGCAATGCCATATCTAGCTGCAAAAGAGACTGGGGAACACCTTTATTCTGGGTGGCCATCTAAAAGGGACTCTAGTAGTAAGGAAGGAGAGAACAGATCATGTAGGACAACCGGAAGCCTGAGTCACTCCTGTTTTTCACTTCCCAGTTCATACAGTATTTCATGGAGCTAAAGTAATACACAGTGAAATGAAATCTGGGATCGTTGTCTCACGCTGCAGCAATGCCTCAAACAGGATCTCTTGCCTTCCTGGTGCTTTTCCAAGGGGGGAAAGAATCAATAGGGGGCAGCTCAGGTTTACCGGGACCTTCTAGGGGCACAGACGCTAAGACAAATCATGGGTGGAAGTAGGGAGCCTCCTGGTGAGGTAGAAGGGGCAGCAGATTAAGCTAGGAGTTGTGTGTTCTAAGTATAGCTCTGCCACCAATCAGCTGTAAGATCTTGGATAAACCCCTTTTCTAAGTCACAGGTACTTGATGCATAAAATGAGGGGTTGGAATCTATAGAATCAAAAGGTAAAGTAGGGGGATTCCCTGGTGGCGCAGTGGTTGAGAGTCCGCCTGCCGATGCAGGGGACACGGGTTCGTGCCCCAGTCTGGGAAGATCCCACATGCTCCGGAGCGGCTGGGCCCGTGAGCCATGGCCGCTGAGCCTGCGCGTCCGGAGCCTGTGCTCCGCAACGGAAGAGGCCACAGCAGTGAGAGGCCCGCGTCCCGCAAAAAAAAAAAAAAATGTACTCCTGAGACTGGGTCAGATGTTGCTTCATCACTAGCAAGGGGCTCGTATTTAATTTAATTTCAGACACTTTTTTAAAATTTAGCCTACAATTCCATTATTGTATAGGGCAATAATGTTGCCTCTTTAAACTGTGTAAACGGCCTTTTCTCCCATAACTGCCATCAAGCCAGGTTTTCTCTATCATCTACTTGTGTACTTGAGTTTTTAGATCTGAAAACAGAGTTCTACATTTGCCCTTTTACAACTTTATTTTGTTAGCTTTGGATGATCACTTCAGCCTGTCCCTCTCATCAAATCTTTATTGTACCATCTAGCATGTAGTCTCTCCCTCCTTCCTCAGTTTTGTCATCCGCAGATTGATAAATAACCTTTATGATCCAGATCACCGACCCAGATGTTGACCAGTACAAATCCCTGCAACTGCCCTCGCAGAGAGCCAGGAAGACTCAGCACACACCTTCCCAGCACAGTGACACCCACGTTTCTCTATCGTGCCCACGGATCCTAAGAACAGGCGAAGGCTTGCCGAATCCCTCACACTCTGCCTGTGGCAATTCGTGGGTACCCTGAGCATTTCTACACATGATCTCCAATCCCTCATCCAGCTTGATAATGGCTGTGCCTTAGTGCTCCCAAAGAAGCATAAGGGTGATAAAACTAGTAGGAGATAAAATGACATCTACTCAGGATGTGAGGTTAAATGAGGATAATCCGTAGAGTCACTGGCACATAGTAAGAACTCAATAAATACTTTTGTATTATCATCACTCATCCAGGTCAGTACTCCATCGCTGATGATGCAGATAAAAGGCTGATGGTGGGAAAAGCGATTGTCTTCCTGACAGTGAAGTCAGAAAGTCCACCCAACGTCCACAAACCTCAGGTTGCCCTCCGAGTATCTCATGCCTCAGTTGTCCGTCACTTGACCTCATCTTTTCAGGGGGACTATCTCTGAGGATAGCATTCATATCACTTCATATAATAATATTTTATTTTAAATTTACCTCTTTCAAGAACTGTTCCCTTCCTTCAGTTTTCCAAAATCAGGATTTAAGGACGACAGACCCCTTATCTATACCCTGAACTTGACTGTGAACGGTGACATTGGCTCCTTTGGCTTTCACCTCTGGACTCACCTTTTGACCACGCTCATGCGCCTCTCTGGTGTTGTCGTCTCCCTCCTGGGGGGTCAGTGATGAGGGTCACGAAAAATCACAAGGGTCAGTGGGTGAGAATGTCATCAGTGCTGTGTCTGCCGCAGGAAAGGGGCCACTCTGGTCACCTACATAGTGTTTCCCATAGGGCTCCTCAGCCCAAACAGGTAACCAAGAGTCTTGCTGGAGATCCTTACCCTTGCCCCTCCCCCAGCTCTGCACCAGGATTTGATGGCCCCATCGCCCCCACCCAGACGGCCCACAGACCCCTGCACGGAAGCCCGTGTGCCACACAGCCCTGCGCTCCCCTGCCTCCACACCCCCGCCCCTGGCCTTGGTGGCCAAACTCCACGCTCGCTCTTGGCCTGCTCCCCTACCTTACCCCTGATCCTGTCGGTTCTGGAGTCCTAGCAGCGACGCCTCCTACATCCCCATCTCCTCCGTCTTCAGGCCTCCAGAGTCTCTTACGTGCCCACTGTTACAGCCCACGCTGACCCTCCCCGCCTTGCCTCCCTTCCCATCTAATCTTCTGCCGATGGCAGAGTGCGCTTCTCCTGTCAGAAAGCCTTCCCGGTACCCCTCCACCCTCCCGACAAAGTCTTATCTCCTTGGCATGTCGCAGAGTACCTGGGGGCTCTGTCCCCTGCGCAGGGGGCTCTGCCGGGACTGCCGGCTGCTCTCCGGGACCCAAACGCCCCCTCCCAGGGTTGCTCTGCCTCGCCGTGCGGCCAGCATCATCCTCTGGGAGGCCTTCTGGACCGCGCCCCTGGCCCGCCCCGAAAAGCAGACGACTGGTCTCCAGCCACCCTGGGTGCTTGGCAAGCTTCTCTGATAACACTAGGTTTACATTATTATCATCAAACCAGCTTCTCTGCATTATTAGGAGCACCACCGTGGGCCAGGCAGGTGCTCTGCACACGCTCAGTCTCTGGATCCTCCCCGGACCCCTAGGAGGTACCTGAACACCCCCACTTTGCTACGGAGGAAACCAACACCTGGAACATTGTGCAACTTCCCCAAGATCACTCAGCCAGGAAGCAGAAGAGTCTAGAAGCCAGGTCCGTCTGACGCCAGAGGCCGAACGCTTCACAGAGTGATGAGGGCTGCCAAGGCACCTGTGGCCTTGCTTCAGGACCGGTTTGCTCCTTTCTCCCTCAGGCCGTGAGATTCTTCAGGGTAGGACTGTGTCTGGCTCCGGTTGGGCCCGTGGTCTCTGGCACAGGACCTGGCAGGTGGACGGACTTTCACCTTGTTTTCTTCCTGAACCTGTGAACGCTGAACCCCTCGGTGAAATGGAGGGATCCTTCCAGAACCTGTGCTGTGTGTGCCTTTGCCTGCAAATATTATGAGCCCTACCTCAAGTCCTGTCTGAATTTTTCCGAGACACCCTATGCCATTCATCACCCACTCGATTCTCCAAGCTCTGAAGCCGCGCCCCAATGCCAACACCAACCCCGTGGGGTTTCCATTTTGCCCAAAGCTGTCTGTTTTGTTTTGGTTTGGCCTCGATTCCTGCCTTGTGCAAGCAGCAAGTATGGACTGGACGTGGGGGTATCTCGGCCGCCCCGGGGCACAGCTCACACCGCCAGGTAAGCCCTGTTTGGAAAGCACACAGGTCTGTAGGAGGTTCCCAAACCCAGAATCCTGACCTTTCCCCAGAGGGGGCCCTCAGTGGATGGTGCTGGACAGTCAGCCTCTGAGCAAGGCCTGGGCGTACTCAGAGGGGCTCAGAGGACCACACTGAGGGGTCGTCAGACAGAGCTTGATATCCCTGAAAGGGGGTGTCACGCTGATAGTTACTGAACTCAGTGGCACGACAAGGGAACCTGAAGGTTTGCTCCACGTTGAAACCTGCCCAGCCGGCTCTGGGCTTTCAACAGTCCTCCCACTCTCCACCCCTCTTTTCCTGTTCTGTTCTCCAGAGCAGTGCTTCCGCGTTGCGTCTGGAGGTGGTGTGGTCATGGCAGGGGGAATTGCTCTTGACTTTTCCGCTCTGGGCCCAGGCTCCCCATCATGGCCCCAGCACCCCAAACCAGCAGGATTACTGCCAGAGACAGCTATGCCAGAGGCTCTCCTCCCATTATAAATTCAAGCCTCAGCTGAATGAAGACATTTCACTGAAATCAGTATTTTTACTCAGAAGGAGCAGAGAAGTGTGACTCAAGGGCCGTCCAACTCCTGGCTTCATGCTTTGGTCATGAGAAGCCTGGTTTGAATGGGTTATAATTTGTTTCACTTTATTTTTGCTGAGTTGCCTTGGGAGCCTGAACTTTGATCTGGGTGGGAATCACTAATTCATTGGCGCAAGAGAAGACAGAGACCAGTGTTCTACCTCCTGTCAGAAGAAGCTACTCCCCCTTGGCTCAAGGAAGCGGCCTGAACACTGTCCCCAGCACCCTGGCCCCATCCCACCCACCCGCCAGGCTAATCATCTTTCTTGGCTGCCTGGGTCCCATCAGTGCCACACCAGCCACAACCAGAGAGCAGGGAGGCGTTGTTTCCCTTCAGCTACTATCTTGTAACTCCCTCTTAATTTACAATCTGTTTGCACTTTCAGATGTTTGGAAAGAAAATTCCTTAGTCAGCAACCCTGAAAAGCCTCATTTTCGTGAAATCTGGATCCTTCTTTCCCACCCCAGTTTTTTTTTTGTTTTTTTTTTTTTTTTGGTTTTGTGGCTGGAACCTAACATCTGTGAGGCAGGCAGGACCTCATGAGTCCTGTGTCACCAGACACCTGTTGAGAGGATGCATTCAGGGGAAGAAAATCGGGGCAGAGCCCACCAGTGACAACTGGTCTTTATCTAACATCAACCTCCACTGACGGGAAGATGGATGGGCAATCGGCCCTGAGAGAGGAGCAAAGATGAGAAATGGTCTATCCTAGCTCAGATGCTAGTGGGGACCCGCCAGGAACCCCTAATGACTGACAAGAAAGCCAGGGGACCTGAACATTTTCCTGGCTGAAGGGGAGTGTCTGCAACCAGGGTACTTACCTCTGCAGGCTGGCCTCTGGGAAAGGGTCCTCCCAGGCACTTCCATAAAAGGTGACACATCAACCTGTCCGACCTTCAACCATCCTGTGGGTTGCCTCTGAGGATTGTGAAAGAAGGGGCATGAGCTATTATTCTGGATAATCATTTCAACATGGAGCTTGGACGGGAGCAAACACAAGAACCGGAGTTGCCGCTCTTGGGCCCTGGGGGCTCATGGCTTTCCCAGCTGTCCTCAAGCATTCACCAGCCCCACGACTAAGGAATCCTGAGCCTTCGAGGACCACAGAAGATGTGGCCTGAACATTGTTCCTGGGAGAGAAGCAGGAATGAGGCAACTGGAGTTTGAATCCTGGCATTGCCACTTCCTAATTGTGAAACTAGGAACCGGTCTGCAAAGTGGGGGTCAGAATTAAAGTAAAAAATACCAAAACAGGCTTCTTAGGAGAATTAAAGAAAGAACTTTTGTTAAACAGTTAGCATGACACTTGGAGATAGTAAGTGCTGAATAAATGTTACATATTATTTTTTTATTAATTATTATTATTATTATTTAGGATACCAAGTTCTTATTGGGTACCTACAATGTGTCTCACCTGACTTGGGAGCCTTAAGGGGAACAGGGCTGTTTACCATGCAGCACCTGATTCCATGATATAATTAGGGACCAGCAGGCCAGCCGTTCATGATTAAATGATTATGAGCAACTGACTTTTGACCTGAAAGGTGGGGCTACAGAAGTAGCTGAGCTCCACAAGGAGGCCTCCAGGAGATGCTGAAGGGGCTTGGAGAGAGGTGATGGCGGCGATGCTTGGAATCCAGGGAGACCTCAGAGGACCTCCCAGGCACTTCCCTCAAAGGTGATCCTTGACAGTCTGCCCATGTTCGTAATTGTCTTGTTTTGCGTTTGAAGGACAGTGGATGTAAACGTTGGGGGGGGGGTGGTGATCAGCCAGAACCCATCCTAGGGAGGGGTAGGGATGAGGAAGAAACAGCCCTGGGGGTGCTTTTGGCTTGGCAGGGAGGCCCAAGGCCACGGCCAGGAAGGACCTATGTGCCCCAGGAAAAGTTCCAGCAGAGGACTGGGGGCCTTCAGCAAACTTGTCATCCAGAAACCCCCAGCTGTGGGAACTGGTCCTGTGGGTCATTAGTCCTGCTGAGCTGTCCCAACCCAAACAAGACTGGCCACCTGGTGGATGGCCCTCCTCCCTTCCTGGGACGCTCCCCAAACCTCACTCCTTCAGGCCTCTGCTCTGAACACTCAATAACATAGTGCCCAGCCCTCTCCAGCCCCCACCTGCTTTGACTTTCTTCTCAGCACACATTACCACCCAACATCTATTTATTGTTTATTTTGTGTTATCTGTCTCTCCTGCCAAGACTATAAACTTCATTAAGACAGGAACCTCTGTTGCCTTGTTCGTGGCTGTATCCCGGGTGTCCGGAACAGCTTCTCTTATAAAGAAGGCACCTAATAAACCCTGAATGAATGAATGAATGAACGGGCACCACCCACAGCAAATAGCCCAATTCCAAGCACATAATTGGTCTCAAGGAAACAATTGTTTGAAGTTATCATTTTCCCAGGAACATGTACTAAAATTCCGAAATTACACTTAACATTAAGCGGGGGAAAAATACCCCATCATCTGTGAACAACAACAATAAAATCTCCCCCTGCCAGTGGTCTGACCTCCCGGCCCTGGGTCGCCCCTGCCCTCTCCACTCTGCTGCCAGAGTTTGGGCAACTCCTGGATGGCTCATCTCGGTGAGTCCAGGGCCTCTTGGCTGTAAATATCATTTAGTCCCACTCAGTGAATAAGAGCCCCATGAATTATGGTGTTTGGCCTGGAGGATGGTTCCTTCTGTCTGATTTTTTTTAAAGTTGATTCTGTTTTTTTCTTTTTCTTTTTTAGCCCTCAAATGCCGAACAGGTGCTGTATTCAACTCCTCGTCAAGGTTTGCGGCTTGGAGTGGGCATTGAGCCAGGGGGTCTGGGGTGGGGGGTGAAGGTGGCTGGGAGCTGGGGTAGAAGCTGGGGTACCGCCCACTGAAGGGTGAGGGAGGAGGAGCAGCTTTTGTTTTGTTGGAGGAAAACCAACAAATGAGACATGGGAGAGGGTGTCATCTAGAGAGGGGCTTCTTGTCCTGGTCCTCAGCGGGGGTCAGGGATCCCCTGAAGGTCTGTGCAACACATTGTGATGTTTGCTTCTGAGCACCTTTCTGGGGAGAGGGTCCGTAGTTTCCAACAGTTTTCACAGCCACCAAAAAAAAAAAACACACACACACAAAAAAAAAACGAAAAAAAGGTAAGAAGAAAAACCCAGAGATGGCACCTGGCAGCTTTTTGGATATATGAATCAACCAAGTTGTGTCAAACTCCTGCTGTTCCCCCATCCCATCCAGGAGCTCAGGCTAATTGGGAAGAAAAGGCCCAAAGGGAGAAGGCAGGTTGGGGTGTTTTGGTTTGGGTTTGGGTTTCGGTTTTTTTTTTTTTTAAGTTATTTCTCGAGGACTTCCTATATGCACAGTACCGTGTTAAACCCTACAACAACAATAATAATAATAGTCGGCTCTTACCTAGCACGTGGTAAGGTGGCAGACACTATTCAAAGAGCTTTCCGTGTATTAGCTTGTTTAATCCCCCCATAAGTCCTATGAAATAGGCACTATTATTCTTCTCATCTTACACATGATAAAACTGAGGCCCAGAGAGGTTAAATAAGTTGCCCCAAAGCCCACAGCAGACCAGATCTAAACCCGGAGGGGCTGGCTGCCCGTCCATGTGTCCATGCGACGCCCCCAAGCTCTGCTATCGCATTTGAGCCTCACAACCCACCCCCTGAAGGATCTCCTATGTTATCTCCGTTCTGCAGGTGATGACGCTGAGGTTGGGCAAGTGGCCCAAGGTCGCCCTGGGTGTCACACACCTCCTGCTGTGAAGGCTGAGAGCCAAGGAAGAATCAGGGGAACTGAGAGGGGCGAGAGGTCACGCTGGGCAGGAGCAGTGGGAATCTAGAAGGTCACTCTGCTCAGAAGCATGTTCCTGAGGGAGAGCTCGTGG